CAAGTGCGCGCCTGGACGGGGCCCCGCGGAGGCCGGGCCTCGGGGCTCGGGGGCGCAGGTGGGCTGAGCCCCGTCGGGAGCTGGTGCTCGTGCGGGCCGGTGCGAGGACCTTGTGCCCCGCCGCCTGCAGCGGACCAGAGAACCAGAGGAAAGCCCGAGCCGGCGGCCGAGGGGAAAGCGCGTTTGTAATGGGCACGGTGCGCGGCTGGAAGGGGCGGTGGGTCTGAGGTGAGCGCCCGAGCTCGAGGCAAAAAGACCCAGTCAAGGCCAGCGCTGTCACCGGTAGTCAGAGGGACAGAGGAACCTGGATAAGAGTCAGTGTTCCCATCTGGAAACGAGGATATTAATAATGACTGTTTCATTGGTGTTTTGAAACTTAGATCCAAGTCGTCACTCGTAAAATATATAGGCAAGTGCCAGGTAGGACAACTCAGTGACAACTGTTAGTATATTTAGAAGACACTTGCTCCGCTCTTTTGTTCTTGTCATCGGACGGCTTCAGGTAACCTCAGCCGCTGTAACGGAGGCGGAGGCGGAGGCTCGGGTTGGCGGAGGGCTGCGCTCACGGCCTGAGCGCCCACTGAAGGGCAGCTGTGCGGTGCGCGCACGTCTTGCCGCAGTAAAGCGAGTGGTAATCTTTTTGCTGGTGGAGCNCTTGCTCCGCTCTTTTGTTCTTGTCATCGGACGGCTTCAGGTAACCTCAGCCGCTGTAGCGGACGCGGAGGCGGAGGCGGAGGCGGAGGCTCGGGTTGGCGGAGGGCTGCGCTCACGGCCTGAGCGCCCACTGAAGGGCAGCTGTGCGGTGCGCGCACGTCTTGCCGCAGTAAAGCGAGTGGTAATCTTTTTGCTGGTGGAGCCTCTTGCCTTCAGTTTGTAAAACACGCACCATCTGTGAAGCGCAGTAAACAGCTATGCCTGTACTTACCATCTCGGGCTTTGTTTAAATATCACACCTGCCCAAAACCAGCGCTGCAGCCCTCACACGCATGGGCAAGGTGGCCTGCCCTGAATGCCCAGGGATACAAGGCAGAGCGCACACAGGTGCAATGTACCGTGTGTGAAATGTATTCCAGGGTTTCCAGTCTCTTCAAATCCCACGGGTCAGACAGAGGTTTCTGGCCCTTCTGCACTGTCAGGCTGTCTTAGGTCTGACATTACGATGAATTGTAAGAGTCAGGGTTTTGCTCCTTAAATGGATTTGTTTCTCAGGTCTATGTCTCAGTTCCACCGAAACAAAAGAAGGCCCTGAACCGAGGAAGTAGGGGGCGCTCTGAACCGAGTCTTACCTGAAGGAGAGCACCCCACTGACCTTAGGGCTCTCTCCAGAGCTTCAGAGCAGAGGCAGAAGAGCCCCAAAAGGAGGAGGCCCTAGATTTGGAAGGTCAGAAGCAGCTCTTGATTCCTCTGTCCAGAACGAGCTAGTCTTGGTGTTGATGCCACCTCCAGAAATGGGGGGTAACCTGGGGTGACCCAGGGCAGGCAGTTTAGGAAGGGCCATTTCATAGGAGAGCCTGTGAGAGTGAGTTCTGAGGGTAAGGGGTAACCAGGCAGAGGGAGGAAATTCTCCACTTTTCCTAAATTCTCCACTCTTTACAGATGCTGCGCTTCTGTCACCCATGTCCATCACATGTGACGTCCTGACCTCACAGGATCCCAGAATGATGGTACATGAAGGATTTTCCAAGATCATCAATTTCTGCGTCTTTTGAAAGTTCAGTGACTTGTTCAGGGAAACTCAGTTTGTGACGGGGCAGGTGAAAAACATTGTTCTCTCTTCTACAAGTAAGTCACCAAAAGCACCTTTCGAGACATACACCAAAGCTGAAACAACTAGAAAGTCCTGCCTTACAGCATTGTCTTTTTTACTAGGCTCTTTGTGGATGGTCTGTACTGGGATAAATAATGTAAACAGTGTTTTTCTGCTAAGTTAATCTTAATGAAAAAATGGTGTCTTTCCTTTGGTGTAATTTAATTCAATGATTCCTCAATTTTTATTTCTTTGTGTTAGTCAGAAGGACACTTCAGTATTGTTAATGAATTGAGGAAAGTTTATGTTCACTAGGCCGATCCCTGTAAGGCATAGGCCCTGGAGTGTGACACTTGGGGAGGTGAATCTAGGAGCTGTAAGGCAGGCCAGATCTTGTGACTCCCATCTGTTTTTCTGTCCCCTCAGCTGAACCTCAGTTCTCTACACTCTCCCAAGAGCCACAGAAAATGAACATACCTCAGGTGAGCTCTTTATTCATTCCCCACTTTATGTTCTAGTGGATTTGTGAGGTTTAGAAGGTTCTGTGCGTTACATGGAAAAATGTGAAACAGAAATAGATCATGTCAGTCTTGAGGGGAATTTTACCATAAACTGTTTGCTGTCAGCTCTTGGTCAGGGTAACTAGGTCCCCTTCAGGTGCTAGTTTGCTAAGATTGCATATTAGACACGAATGTGCATTGAATTATATTGAATACCGTTTGTGTATCTATTGAAATAAAGCTATAGCTTATGTCCTTTAATTTATAAATATTGTACACAATTTAATGGGTTTTCTACTATTACCTTGAATTCCTTTGTAGACCCTAATTGTTAATAGAATGATAAGTTGTTTTTTACAAATTTTCCTAGGGCTTTTTGCTGATACTGTATTTAGGATTTTTTTTGGTACCCACAAGTTGGATTGGACTATACTTTCTTTTTAAAAAAAAAATTGAGATATAATTGACATTAAGTTTAAGGTGTACAACCTGTTGGTTTGCTATGTTTATATATTGTAGTATGATTACTACAGTAGAGTTAGCTAGCGCCTTTATTGTGTCACATATTTATATATTTATATATGTTGAGGACAGTTAAGAATTAATTTCTTAGCAACTAAAGTATATAATACAGCATAATTGACTATAATCACTATGTTGTGCATTAGATCTCCCGAACTTATTTATCTACTAGTTATAAGTTTTAGACTATATTTACTTGATTCCCTTTGCAATTGTGTTACCATGTTCATAGCCTCATAAAAGGAAATGGAGCCCTGGCCAGTTTGCTCAGTGGTTAGAGTATAGTCCTGTGGCCTGAAGGGTCTTCAAGTTCGATTCCCAGGCAAGGGCATGTACCTTGGTTACAGGCCTGATCCCTGGTCCTGGTCGGGGCTCATTCAGGAGGCAACCAATCAACCAATCGATGTGTCTCTCGAACACTGATGTTTCTCTTTCCCCCTTCCCCTCCTCTCTCCTCTCCACTCTCTCTAAAAGAAAATCACTGGAAAAAATATCCTCAGGTGAGGATTAAAAAAGAAATTTTTTTAAAAAATGATAATGGGGCACTTTCCTGCTCCTTTTCTAATAATTTAAATGAGAAAGTTGTGTTATGTGTAGATTTTGTGAAACTCACATAAATTTGGGCTGTGAGGGGACTTTTTGCATGAACACTTTGATTATTAAATTAATTCATTAGCGATAAGTCTATACCAAATTTGTATTTTTTCTTAGTATACCTTTTCTCATTACATTTTTTTCCTTAAATCCTCACCTGAGAATATTTTTTCCACTGCTTTTCAGAGAGAGTAGAAGGGAGAGAGAGAGAGAAACACCAGTGTGAGAGAGAAACATCCAGCTGTTGGCTCTCAGATGCACCCAACTGGAATATAAAAGAATTCTTGTGCCCTGGCTGGGTGGCTCGGTTGGTTGGAGCCATGTCCTGTACACTGAAAGGTTTTGGGTTCAATTCTGGTCAGCGCACATACCTAAGAAAATAAGGCAGTAGCTTTCTCATCATATTATGTGACAATATGTGTGTATAATTTAAAAATAAATATAAATAAATTGGAGCATGAGAATAAATTTTTTGCTAATTGCGCACATATCCCCAAAATATAAGATAGAGTTAGGGCCATAATAGTCATCTTTTATAGCATTTTGTTTTAAACTTTCTAAACAGTAAGTACATTAAATATTTTAAGTTTCCAAAAATATTTTCCATGTCCCTGATTCTGGACCCTAAGTTGATTAGAAATGTGTTATTACAGGCCTCAGTGTCATTCAAGGACGTGACTGTGGAGTTCACGCAAGCGGAGTGGCAACAGATGGACTCTGCTCAGAGGACCCTGTACAAAGAGGTGATGCTGGAGAACTACAGGCTCCTCGTCTCACTGGGTGAGCAGACCTTCCCCTGTGACTCCTAGACTGCAGATTTTGTTTTCTTTTTTAAATGTTAATCACTTTTGTTAAGGTATATTTAACAGAAAGTAAAATTCAGCCATTTTCAGCCTACAAATCAGTGAGTTTTACCATCATCAAAATCATGATTGGAATATTTCCATCATCCCAAAAAGATACCTTGTAACCCTTTGGAGTGAGTCCCCTCCCTCCATCCCTACCTCTCAGAGTCTGGCAGTCACTCATCTCCTTTCTATTGCAACAGTTTGCCTTTTCTCAAATTTTATATAAACGGAATCAGAAAGAATATATTCTTTTGTCCAGCTTCTTTCAGTTAGCGTAATGCTTTTGAAAGGGTGTGTATGTGCGTATCACTAGTTTATTCTTTTTACCACAGTTTGTTCCTTTTAGTTGATAGACACGTGATTTTTTTTTTCACTTCAGAGCTGTTATGAATAAAGTAGCTATGAACATGCACATACAAGTTGTTGGCTGACATGTTTTCATTTCTGTTGTGTAAATGCCTAGGAGTGGGTTTGCTGGGTCTTCCAGTAAGTTTATATGTATATGATTTTATAAGAAACTGCTAAATGTTTCCAAGTTGGCTCTACTGTTTCTCATGCCCATAAGTAATGTCTGAGAGTTCTCATTGCTCTTTGGTTACCAGCATTTGGTTTGGTTAGTCTTCTTATGTTTAGCCACTGTAGTTGGTGTCCAGTTATATCCTGCTGGGTTGTAATTTGCATCTCCCTGGTGACTAGCAATGTTGAGCCTCTTTTCATGTGCTTTTTAATCATTCATAATTTCCTTTAATGAAGTGTCTGATTAAATCTTTTGCCCATTTTCTGTTTAGTTTAGTTTAGTTTAGTTTAGTTTAATTTAGTTTTTGTTGGTTTTGATGTTTTTTTTATTTTTGGCCTTATTGTTGAGCTGAAGGAGTTTAGACAGTTATCAAATATATGTTTGCAAACCCTTTTTTTCTTCATCTCTTGCTTGCTTTCTTAAGAAGAAAATGTTTTCAGATTGTTTTTAGCTTTTGCATATACTTAAAAATACTTTGTATATGACAGTTATAGATTCATAGGAATTAGCACAATTGTATTCACAATTTTCCCCCAATGGTTATTTCTTACATGACTATAATATAGTCTCAACACCATTTGTAAAATATCATTGGTACAATGTGTGTGAATAGCTCTATGCCATTTTATCACATTTGGAGATTCATGTAACCACCACCTCAAATAAAGTACAGAACAATTCTATCACCACAAAGATTCCTCTCGTGCCACCTCTTTATAGTCATATCTAGCCCCTCTCCTGCACCATTCCTACTCTCAGCTAGCTACTAATATGCCCTTCATCTCTACAGTTTTGCCATTTCAAGAACGTCATATAAATGGAATTATACAATATTTGATGTGTTGAAATTGAGACCCATCCAAGTTTTAGTGTGTTCCAATAGTTTATTTCTTTTATTTACTAAAATGGTATTCCACTGGGTGACTGTATCATAGTTTGTTTAGCCATTCACCTATTAAAGGACATTTTAGTTGTTTCTAATTTGGGGCTGTTTTATTTATTTATTGATTGATTTAATGTTTATTTTTTGATTTCTTAGGAAGAGAGACACAGAGGGAGAGAAACAGCAGATTGTTGTTTCACTTATTTATGCATTCATTGGTTTATTCTAGTACGTGCCCCGATTGAAGATCGAACCCGAAACCTTGGCATGTCGGGATGATGCTCTAATCAACTGAGCTACCCAGCCAGGGTTGGGCTATTTTAATAAAGCTGCTATGGCCCTGACCAGTGTTGTTCAGTGGTTAGAGCTTTGGACAGTGCACAGAAGGGTCTCGGGTTTGATTCCCAGTCAAGGGCATGTACCTGGGTTGCAAGTTGGAGCAGGCAGGAGGCAACCAATTGATGTGTGTCTCTCACATGTATGTTTCTCTCTCTCTTGCTCTCTTTCCCCTTCCCTTCTCTCTCTTGCTCCCTCCCTCCCTGTCCATTGCCCCCCTCCACTTTCCCTAAAAAGCAATTGAAAAAATATCCTCGGGTAAGGATTAACAGCAACAAAAAAATACCTTCAAGTAAGAATTCACAAAATAAAATAATAATACATACATAAGGCTGCTGTGAATGTTCATGTTCCGCTTTTTGTGTGAACATAATTAGTTCTCTGAGATAAATGCCCAGGAGTGCGATTGTGGCTGCTTGGTGAGTATATGTTTTGTTCTTTAAGAAACTGCCAAACTATTTTCCAGAGTAGCGGTACCATCCTGCATTTCTACCAGCAGTGTATGAGAGATTCAGTTACTTTCTATACTTCCCAGGACTTGGTATTATCATTATTTTTTGTATTAGTGGCTGTAACAGGTGTATAATGATAGCTCATCATGGTCTTAATTTGTATTTCCTTAATGGCTAGTGATGTTAAATATCTTTTCATGTGTTCATGTGCCATTTATGTATTATTAGATAGTAAATGTCTGTTCGTGGTTGTACATTTTTCCCCATCTTTATTGAGGTATAATGACAAAATAAAACTGTGTATACTTAAGGTATAATAAGACTTGATGTTTTGATATACATAATACATTGTAAAATAATTGCCACAATCAAGCTAATTTACATACCCATCATCTGACATAGTTACCTTCTGGGGAATGGGTTGAGAACACTTAAGATCTACCCTCTTGGGTGGTTTAATATACGTAAATCAATCAATGTAACACACCACATTAACAAAACAAAGGATAAAAATCATATGATCTTATCAACAGATGCAGAAAAAGCATTTGATGAGATACCACATCCATTTATGATTAAAACACACAATAAAATAGGAGTAGAAGAAAAGTGTCTTAATATAATAAATACCATATACAATAAACCCTCAGCTCAATGGTGAAAAACGGAAAGCTTTTCCTCTAAGATCAGGAATAGGACAAGGATGTCCACTCTCACCACTCTTATTCAACATAGTTCTGGAAGTCCTGGCCAGAGCAATAAGGCAAGAGAAAGACATAAAAGGCATCCAGATGGGGAAGGAAGAAGTAAAACTGTCACTTTTTGTGGACAACACAATTCTGTATATAGAAAACCCTAAAGACTCCACCAAAAAACTATTAGAAACAATAAACAAATACAGTAAAATTACAGTAAAATTGCAGGATACAAAATCGATGCAAAAATCAACAACAAAACTTCAGATAAAGAAATGAAAAAAGCAATTCCTTTTGCAATTACAACCAAAAGAATAAAATACCTAGGAATAAACTTAACAAAGAACATGAAAGACCTATATACTGAAAACCACAAAGCATTATTAAAAGGGATTGAAATAGACACAACAAAATGGAAAAATATCCCATGTTCATGGATTGGAAGAATCAACATAGTTAAAATGGCTGCATTACCCAAAGCAATATACAGATTTAATGGAACCTCCACCAAAATACCAATGTTATTTTTTAAAGATATAGAACGAGAAATCACCAGATTTGTATGGAACCATAAAAGACTCTGAATAGCCAAAGCAATCCTGAGAAAAAAGAACGAAGCTGGAAGTATCATGCTACCTGACTTCAAATTATACTACAGAGCTACAATGATCAAAACAGTGTGGTATTGGCACAGAAACACACACAGATCAGTGAAACAGAATAGAAAGCCCAGATATAAAACCACATGTATATGGGCAGATAATTTTGGACAAAGGAGCCAGAAACACACAATGGAGTAAAGATAGTCTCTTCAATAAATGGCGCTAGGAAAACTGGAAAGCCACATGCAAAAGAATGAAACTGGATTACAGTTTGTCCCCATATACAAAAATTAACTCAAAATGGATCAAAGACCTAAATACGAGACCCAAAACAGTAAGTTACATAGAAGAAAACATAGGCTCCAAAGTTATGGACCTTGGTCACAGAAAACATTTTATGAACTTCACCCCAAAGGCAAAGGAAGTAAAGGCAACAATAAATGAACGAGACTATATCAAACTAAAAAGCTTCTGCACAGCAAAAGAAACTGACAACAAAACACAGAGGCAGCCAACCAGATGGGAGATGATATTTGCAAACATTAGCTCCCACAAAGGTTTAATTTCCAAAATATATAAAGAACTCATAAAATTCAACAGCAAACAACCCAATCAAAAATGGGCAGAGGACCTGAACAGACACGTCTCCCAAAGAGACATACGAACAGCCAATAGATATATGAAAAGATGTTCAACCTCACTAACAATTAGGGAAATGTAAATCAAAACTACAAGGAGATGCCACCTCACACCGGTTAGAGTGGTTTTTATCAACAAGACAAGCAATAACAAGTGTTGGAGAGGTTGTGGAGAAAAGGGAACCCTCCTTCACTGCTGGTGGAAATGTAGACTGGTACAACCACTATGGAAAGCAGTCCGGCGACTCCTCAGAAAATTAAGAGTAGAGCTACCATACGACCCAGCAATCCCTCTCCTGGGTATATACCTGGAAAACTCAAAAACATGTGTTTGAAAAAGATATATGCACCCCTGTGTTCATTGCAGCATTATTCACAGTGGCCAAGACATGGAAACAACCCAAGTGTCCTGTTATAGAGGACTAGATAAAGATGGTGTGGGACAGATACACAGTGGAATACTCAGCCATAAGGAAGGATGGAATACTGCCATTTGCAACAACATGGATGGACCTTGAGAATATTGTGCTAAGTGAAATAAGCCAGTCAGAAAAAGTTAAGAACCATATGATTTCACTCATATGTAGGATATAAAACTGAAACTTGTGGACACAAACAGCAGTGTGGTGGTTGTCAAACGGAAGAGTGTGGGGAGTAAGGGGGTCTTAATATATGGTGATGGGAGAAGACATGACTTTGAGTGGTGGGCACAGAGAGCAATATACAGATTTTGTACCATAGAAACCCACACCTGAAACCTGTATGTTCATATTGACCACTGTCACCCCAATAAACTTAATTTAAAAAGA